AATAATAATAATAATAATAATAATAATAATAATAATAATAATAATGCCCTATAATTACCGTCATTTTAAAAATTTCTTTTTGAATTCTTTTTTGAATCTCATTTTGAGATTTCATTTTTGAATTTTGTCAGTACAGAAACTTTCTTTGTTATGACTTTGATTTTTATAATGGTTTCAACTAATGTACTTTTATAGGTTCTTGGAGATATTGTTAATATTCACAAACGTATTCGGAAAACACGTAGTAAACTGAAAACAGAAATTGACGAATTCGTTAACTTTATTTCAGTATTTGCTTTGCTTATGGCAACTATTTTTTTCCTGGTTGCCAGTATAATAAGCAGGTTCGTTGAGACTTTTTGTTAGAAAATTGTATTCTTACTAACGAATTCTTGCAATCTTTATTAGCATTAAAAAAATTCAAAAATAATTTAGTGAGGTAAAAAGTTATTTATTAATCAAAATACAATATGATATGATATCTATAACAAACTTCTATTTTTTTTTTCATGTTGGACACATGAATATGGAAAATTAATTATTATGCATAGTTGTTGTAGAAGAATAGAGTGCTTTAATTTATTTTTTAGGTTTCGGAATATCTTGGATCATTTTATCATTGCTTTTCTGATAATAATTGTTGCAAACGTGCCTCAAGGCCTTCCAGCTATGGTAATTTCACAGCTAGCGATTATAGGTCGACGATTAGCCAGCAAAAATGTTTATATCAAGAAATTGGATGTTATTAGCGAACTTGGTGCAACTACTGTAGTAGCTGTCGACAAGACTGGAACTATTACACAGAATTTGATGGTACTTACTGATCTTTGGTACAATCGAAAGTATCAGTTAGGTGCGTTATGTCAGTTTCAGTTCTAACATAACAACTTAAAACCTTTATCTTTATCCAATGACTTTAATTTTCAAATTTGGAACGAATAATTGATCTGTTCCATTGGTAATGGAATATTTCATTTCTTAAATTATAATTTATAAAAAAGTTGCCATCTTTTTCTCTTACGCCATGCGTATGTATGTATTTACCTTAATTAATTTTAATCATAAAGTAAGCTTTTCAATCTTTTATCAAATATCAATAATATACTAATATCAAGATATCAAAATCACATTTACAGTAATATTTTATGCACTGAAAGAATTTTTCTCAACGATTTTATTCATTACTCATTATTTTAATATCAATTATTATTATTCAGCACTGCATTACTTTTATGAGAATTAACATACTTATGAAATTTTATTCATATTTTTAGATCACAAATTTATGAATGATCCCAAAAGTCATGATCAAAATTATGAACATTCTGAATGCAAGCAGCCATTATCTGATATGTTTGCTGTGATGAGCATTTGCAATCGCGCACATTTTGAGCATATTGACAAATTGCCTACTTCGAGAAAACCACTTCAAGATGCAACTTCTATGGAAACGTTGCAAGGAGGCCCAATTAATAAGCGGTTTACTGTACTGTTAGTTGATACTAATGAAGATGGCACTTTACAAAATATTATCATTATCAGTTATTCCCTTTGTTAATTTATTTATTAGGCACTAAAATTTGAAAGTTTATAAAATATTTCACATCCCTAGCTATGTAATTTTAAGTACTGAATTTTTTAAAACAACTTTAAACTAATAAATAAAAATGAAACCAAGTAAAAATGATCAAATATTGAATTAGGAAAATTTACTGCTTTGTTATAGCATAAATCAAAGTTTCATATTTAAAATATTTGTAATTTCTAAGTTATATAAATTAAAGTATATAAATATCTTGCGTATTACAAATTCATTGTTTTCAATTTTTAAAAGCTAATTTTTGCCGAGATTCTATTACTGGAAAGCCAAGCCCTGTATTCAGTAAGCAAAATGACTTAATCAGAATCAAAGTATCTAATAAAGCCGAGCAGATAAAAGAGGTAACAACGATTTAAAATCTTAAACTTCAAATATCTCTTATTGGGATAAGCAAAAAATGAATAAACAAATGCCTGAATTTTTAAAAAAAATTAGTTTTTGAAATGTTTTTTGCCATTTTCATACTGAGTAAAACTCTAAAATTACATATATAAAAGCAATAACATTTCTTACTTTGACAAAAGTAAAAAGATATTATCAAATTTCAGCATCAAACTAGCAGTAATACATTTGAACAAAATCACATCTATGGCTCTCCTTCAGATGTAGCATTACTTCGCTATGTAGAAATGTTTCTGTCCGTAAACCGAATACGCTCTAATTATTTTGTAAATTTTTCATAACACAATATTATTAAAATTTCGTCTTTCATATTAATTTCTCAAATTTATCGACTAAAATCAAAAGTATGGTTCAATTATTCTTAGTGGTAAATAGCTCAGTTCATATGCTAATTGAACAAACAACAACCATTGAATACAGTTTTTATAGTTTGACTTTAATTTATGTATTATTGCGTTATTTACTTCTGCATCAAATTCTATAAAAAATTAAATTTTTATCTCCAATTCATTGCTTTTTTTTTCGTTGCGAACTGAAACATTGATACTTTTGAAAAAAATTTATTTTTCTTTTTATTTCTGTAAATCTTTCAAACTTTTTGTAACAATTGTTTGAAGTTAAGTTTTGCAGAAGAGAAATGATTAGTGAATATTAATGCTGAAAACTAATACTCAATATGAGCTAATTTAATTATAATGACATGTCTTTTGTGTAACACTTTTATATTATTTTGTGAAAGTTTTTTCAAATTAAGTTCACTTAAAATCATTTATAATTGAAACTTTCAAATTAGTCTTTGACATTTCAGCTTTTTTAAATATAACGAAATTTGGTTAAAGTATTAATATAGTACAGCAATGAACAATAGAATAATTATTACTGATTATTAGTTTCAGAAGGTTTTTGACATGCCATTCAATTCTGTCCGTCGCTACCATTTAGTAATTGCACGAGACCTCACGCAAGAATCAGAAAATGCAAAAAATGAGCCAAATATTGTTGTGAAATTTGTGATTATGATAATTGGTGCACCAGAAGTTGTATTAGACTGTTGTACTTTTTTACAAATTGATCAGGAGCAAATACCAATTGATGAGGACCTTCGACAAGAATGCCAAGTAAAAATCAACGTTTTGAAAATAAAAATTCGTAATTAGACTCCATTCATAACATAGCAAGAGAAGCTAAAATAGAAGAATTTCACGACAAAAAGTTTAATATTTATATTTAAAAGCATATTAACTTCATGTATTTAAAAAATAAGAAATATGCTATGATATTTAATAATTCAAAAATTATTGAAACATTATATTATATGAATATATGCACTTATGCATTGAAAATTTAATATATGCAAAAAAGTGTTTAATTTTTGTCTTGGGTGAAGATGACAATGACTTAGCAGGTTTTTTTTGACTTCATGCAAACCAAGTTTCAAAATTAATCTTTTTTTCTTGCAAAATTATTAAACATTTGTAATTTTCATAGTTTGTATTTATTCTTAAGCATAGGAAAACTGCAAAAAATTTTATTAATTATATTTTACTTAATATTTAAACCTTTAAGGTTTAAATATTAAGCTTTGCAGTGCTTTTATTCTGTTAAACGCTTTAATTGACAACTGAATCTTATCAAACTAAGTTGATTTTTCAGGCTGCTTGGGAACATTTTGGTAACGAGGGAAAACGAGTTTATGCGTTTGGCATGAAACGCATCACTGCTGACATAAATTTCAAATTTACATCTTCAAACGTAGAATTAGCTCAATTAACATTTCTTGGAATGGCAGCCCTGATGGATCCACCAAGGTAAGTAATGACATTATAATTTCCTTTTCTCAGATATGAATTATATCAATTAATTTAAATATTCCTTGCAAAATAAGGAATACTGATTCAGTTTTATTTTATTCAAAGAAGTATTAGTCGAATAATAAACTCTGCCTAAAACTGACTCAATGCCAAATTTGTTACTTAGAGATGATGCTGCAAATGCGATAAAACAATGCAAAGAAGCTGGAATCAAAGTCTATATGATCACGGGTATGCTTTAAAAGAGATTAGTTTAATAAATATGAAAGTATGCCTGAAATTTGATTATAAATTATCTCAAATTAGTGAAATGAACAATTTATAGCCTTTTTTGCTCGAAATTGGCACAAATGTAATCTAACAAATCAAGTTAATAAATTTATTTCTAATTACTTGGGTCATCGCTCTGTGACCGAGCATTTTTCTGCACAATTTTATGCGTAGTTCAAAACAATTTGTTTTGCTTAGGTTCAAAGTGATATTTTTGTATCTGATAAAATAACTTAGAGTGAGTATAGAACGGAAATCATCTAAGATTCCAAATCAATATAGCATTCTTCTAAATCATTACTACTCTAATTGTGTTTCTGATGTTTTATAAGTCTTTACCCACAGCTGAAGATTTTTAGCATTATTTTTGATTTTGCGTAAAATCGGTATTTTCTAGAATTAATTCAAGTTGTTGAATCTTGAAATTCATGATTGCATTAAAATTTTTAATGAATCTAATATTTTATTTGAAGGTATGCTCTGTTCCACTTTAGTAACAAAACAATAACTCATCATTTATTAAAAATTGATATTTATACAAAAACTTTTAGGAATATCTTTGCGTTTTACAAAAGTAAGAATTTTGAAGAATGAAAGATTAACTAATCATTTGGAGATTATAAATGTTTTACAAATATCTATGCTCAATCGAGAATCAGATTCATACTTTTTTCAGATAATTCAGATTACTTAATTGCGAACTTCAAAACTTCTTTCCGAATTTTTCAATAATAACTATTAACTTAGTTTGTCTAAGTGGAATATAAATGTTAACTTTTCATTTAAAAGAATTATGCATATAAAAGAAGAAAAACGTAGTTAACATTTATTCTATTCTTTTGAACAATGATTTAAAAAACCAAAATTAAACATAAGCTTAAGTAAAAGAAGTATAGTAGTAAAATCAACTGCATTAATTCTGAATCTAAATATTTTACAGTCATATAATTTTGAAAATCAGATTAATAAATTTTGACGTCAATTCAATGCCAATTTAATGAGTAATAAACTTACAAATAATAAAATATTTAGTTAACTTTTCAAAAATAAAACAAAAATAATGACAGTTTTAATATTTTTATGCGATCACCCCACAACTGCAATGGCCATTGCTCGAAAAATTGGGCTTATTGGCAGCAGCGATGAAATGGTAAAATTTAGTTTTACAAAATAATTTTCAAGCAAAATTCATCATTTGTTTGATTGATATTTACTAGCATTTTATTATAAATATTTAATATTAATATTACAACTATTGCTATCAAATTTTAATGTATTTTATTAATTTTTTTCAATTTTTCTCAAATAAATTGCATTTAGCAATCATTTAAATTATTATACGATATAAAGTATGAATTACCAATCAGTTGTTTGTGTCAAGTTAAGATTATTGGCAGGTTGAGTCAAGCAGTCGAGAACGTGTAAAGTTAAGCGTTATCGAGGCAAAAGAAATTAATTGGAGTGTTGTAGTGGGCAATGATGTGGATAATATGGATAAAAATGGATGGAATAAATTATTTAAAAAGAAATACATTGTTTTTGCAAGGTATATATTTTAGTCTTCACAGCAAAAGTAATAATTGCGACTTTATATTTCTGTTCAAATAATTCACAATAAATATTCCAATCGATCATTAAGTTCAGGACAAATTCCCGTCAGAAACTTCGAATTATTGAGGAATGCCAAAAACGTGGAGAAATAGTTGCTGTAACGGGTGAAGGTGTTAGCGATGCCCAAGCATTAGCATCTGCAAATATTGGTATTGCTATGGGTATTACAGGTGACTATGACATCCTGAAAATTATGCATAATTGACATTTCACCTTCTAAGTATAATTTGTTAAAAGCTTTTTGTTCACTGAAATAGGAGGAAATTTATTTATCGTTCAAAGTAACATTCATGAAATTAATCCAATATTTCTGATAACATTGAGAATAAGTATGATGATATTACAATTATTGTTAACATTATTTTTTCTTCAAATAAATATTATCATATTATTATCATAATATTAATTTTAGGTAGTGATATAGCCAAGCAATCAGCAGATATTATTTTAACAGACGATAACTTTGCTTCAATCGTAAAAGGTATAGAAGAAGGACGATTGTTATTCGACAATTTGCGCCTTTCATTAGCATATACTTTGACTCATCTTTGGCCTGAAATATTCCCTGTTATTTTGCAATTTACACTTTACTTACCACTAGCATTGTCACCTCTGCAAGTAAGATATTTTTTAATTTTTATTTTTGTATTTTTGCAGCGATGTAATTTTCTGCTTTCCAAATAATTACTTTATATCTACTGATAAAATAATAATAATTTAACTCAGTTAGCGCTGCAGTTTTGTACGATTTATGGATTTTACAATTAGGCGAAACCGAATTTCTCTTCAAAATTAAAATTTTCTTTTTTAGTTTATCAAAATGTGAAGTGATATTAAATTTTAACTACTGTTGCAGCTGATTGAAGATTTTTGTTTTGAATTTGTTTGCATTGACAAAAATTTGTTCCAGATTCTCAGTATTGATCTAGCTAGTGAATTACCACCATCAATCTCGTTAGCATATCAGTCACCGGAAAGTGATATTATGAGAGTTCCCCCGCGACATCCCAATGATCGTCTTTTATCTCGACCACTTATTATTTATTCATTTGCTTTTGCTGGTACAATAATTACTACTGGATGTATCGTGTCGTTTTTCTCTGTCTACTGGTAAGAACAATTAAGCTTCAATTGCTGTCATCAGAATTTTATATTAAATTTTATGGAAATTATGGAATTCCTAAAGATTTATCAATGAACTCATTTCGATTTTTAAAAAATTTTTTATCCAACATGTAGTATGACAGTCTAAAGTTTTTTTAATGATTAGATAAACTGTCAAAAATGAGAGCAAAGTTTCATTAGTGATATCAGTGGATCTCTGAATTCATTACAACTTGCTTGTACACTGTTGCACTTACTTCTGTGCTCAAAATATTTATAACTGACAGATATATTCTAAATTATAATCGAGTTTTGACTTCAACTTCTTGATTTCATGGAATTAATTTCGTTCTTAACAAATATTTAAATCTATTTTGATCGTAGCTTAGGGGCACAAATTATTCATCCATGATCTTAGAATAAGTTAATTAAACCTGACAAACCATTTCTCTATTTACAAATAAGATATTTATTTCACTGGAAAATGTTTAACACTTTTTCAGTAAAAGATTTTCATTTATTTGATCACAATTGAAATAGGGTGAAAAATTCGCTTATATAAATTCAACTGATTGCAAATTTGAAATTTAGGTATCACAACATCAAAGTAAAAGATTTACTTTTTACTGCTGAGAATTATTGGTCTGCAGATGCTGGAAACTTTACAACTTCTGAAGGACAAATATTTTCAGCGTCGGAACAAATGTTTATCAAAGGTCAAGCTGCAGCAGCATGGCAAATTACTTTAGTACTTTCTCAGGTCAACTTAGCGCTTATTTATTTACCTGCATTCATTTTTTTAGTTTATATTTAAAAGACTCACAAAATTCAAAATATCACGAAAATGTAATTTAAAAGGAAATACACTGTTAACGACTAATATATCATTAGTGTATATCAACAGTAACTATTGGTTGTTTTTATTCTTTTTTTACACTCGATTAGCATAAATATATGCTTAAAATATACATATTGTTAGCAGTTGCCAATTCGCTCTGATATAAATGGCGAAAAAAGTAGTAAAGTAGTGAAAATAGTCAACAAAAATTGTTCGAAAATATGATATAATCAATGATTTGAATAAATTATAAGTAAATAAATAATCTATGATAATAATATATAATATTTATAAATAAGTTTAATTAAATATTTTTTATAATGGTAAGAAATGATGATTCGCAGTTGTTGCCAAAAATCAGTCCCTTGCAATGCATTTTAGTAGAGATTTTGTAAACATTTCAGATTTTTCATTTATATATGTGTGCGACACGTCGAACATCGTTTTTCCGTCAAGGTATTACAAATTTGGTATCATTTTTTGCAGTTATTATCGAACTTTTATTGCTTAATTTGTTTATTTATACTCCATTCGCACAATCCTTCATGGAAACCCAATCGCCTCCAAATCAGGTTCCAATCATTACTACTTTATTACTTCACAAGAAATATCGTCATTTACTACAAATTTTAAGCAAAAACTCAAGCTCAAATTACTTTTGCGATAATTTAAGTAATGAATATATTTAATTTTATATAAGTAATATCTAATTTTACACAAGTGCAATAATGAATACTAAGTATATCCATTTACATAATTTTTATTGCTTTCAATTTCCGGTTTGGCTTTATGGTATCATTGCTGGCATAATTTTGCTCATATTCACAGAACTACGCAAATTCTGTATTAGACAATGGCCAACGAATCCTTTGATTAAATTTATAGTTTTCTGAAAGCTTATAAAATTGTAGTCTATTTTTATAACAATATTATGTGCTTTTATCTAGAAAAACTATGATTCAAGTGAAATAAATTATATCACTTGAAAATAACAATTTTTTCTCTAAATTATCAATTTGTTTCAAAATTATAAATGCAGTTTACTTAACTCAGCAAACTGAAAAAATACCGTATAATCAGAAATCTGACCACTAAATTTTTACAGATCAAACTTTTGATTATACAGTATCGTATTAACATAACATGACTGTAAGTGATAGATCATTTAAATAACAAGGAATAAAAGCAAAAAAGAAATGATAAAAAAGTTTAATTAATAAACGTTGTAAAATTAAGTACATAATTGAAATATCGAGTATTAAATTTACTCAATTTATGCTAGAAACTATTTCAAAAATTAAATTTCATCGGTCTTCATAGCAATATGACAAAAAAGGGAAGAAAAAAGTACAAGGATTCAACATCAGAAATTTGTAATTAATAAAATAAGCAAATTTCGAATGATTAATAATCTTGTTAACAAGGAAATAAAGAGTCAATTGCGTTTCTTCAAGTACAAAGAAAATACTGGAAGAATGGAATTAAAGCCAACTTCAACAGTGATGAGAACTTCAGAAATCAAAAACACAGGTAATGAAGTGAGCAAGTACTTTAACAAGTCATTAGTATGTGATTGAAAGGGAAATTTATTCAGGAAAAGTGGAAAATCACCCAGTAATTGTTGTGAAGAATGTCAAAAAAAATCAAGTGAAAACTATCGCGGGAGAAAATGTTTTACCTAAAGAAAAATGTTTTATCTTAATTAATCATTTAATTTTATGTTTTTAATAATAAGATGAAACCATCACGGGATAAAAAAGAAAACCTGCCACGCATAGCTATACAAAATGCAAATTAGTTACTTTACCTCAATAATTTTGATTTAACAACTTGGCTTCGAAACACAAAAATATGACCCCCCGAGAAGAGGCACAGTACAGTAATCCTCAAGAAGAAAATATGTTCCACGCTAAAAACTTTGTTTGAACGTTGTAAGGAGTGTTTGAGTAACATAAGTGCAGATCAACCGGATAATGCGATCAACGA